TCTGACTATCTGATAGCTGCTGGTATTCAGAAAACTTTTTCCTGAGACAAACGCACTCATTCAAATCGCAAGACATGCACATCCACAGCAAACTACCTAACCGACTAAAGTAAGTATAGTCAAATTTCTAGGCTACCACTCATTGAACATTACTAGATACCCGGAACTATACCCAAAAATCAAGAAGCGAGAACAAAGAAATCCGGAAAGAAGTTATCTAACAATAGGACTGCCTTTGGCCAATTAGACATATCTTGTAGGTCAGTGTAAGCGGGGTTATTAAGTCAAATTTATGGCGCGGGTCTGACATTTTCTTATGGCTAGTGGTTCACGAGAGTTGCTTAGACTGTTTGCGGCAACAGTAAATCCATCATCCTTCATATAATATATTTTCAGATACAAGATGCAAGTACTTTAGCTGGTGAGATGCGATTTATTGATCTCAACTCTGCTTTCAAAATGACTTGTGAGCTTCAGCAGCGTGTCGTCGACCTTATTTACTCACACAAAAAGCACTTAAGAACTCTAGAGGCCATTGTCCGAATCAAACAAGAAGGTAAAATTTTCTTTAAGGACTGCTTAGCTCATTGCTTCTAGACACAAGTTCAGTAAGTCGTGCGGAAATCTTCATGAAATATTTTTAGAATCTAAATGGAGAGTTTCAATGTCAGCAACAAACTCGTGACGAGAGTGAGACCGATGAACAAGTAGATCATGGTAGGTGTCTGTCCATTATCGTAAGTAGTTTTTTTAGTTGGTAGGTGCTTTCAAATATTAGTAAGGCTATAGGTGTTAGAATACTCAGTGGGATTATATTCCCTTGGTAGTGGATAACCATAACTGCATCAAAACAAGGGGTATCAGCATGTTTGATAAGTACTTGAAAATAAATATTAGGTACTGGAAAACACTACAGGAACTTATATAGGTAATTTGGCATTCTTGAATCAGGTGGGACTCCCTGCGACTTTACTCACATACGCAAATATAAAAAGTATGAACTATCGAAAAATCCGTCTACTTTTCAAGTCAGTCATTTGAAAACGAAGAGCATTCTAATCTCCGTTGTATTTGTGGTTTACTGATAAGTACAATATAAGATGCGAGTACTAGGTTTGAACGTCATAAGACTTGTTCCTGTTAAGTATAGGATTCCTTAATTTGTTCAGTCAGTCAGTAACAACGTAGAACTTCGTACGTACGTACATCAGTTCGGGTCGTCACACCACATTAACACAGAGACGCAGTTGTCGATTCAAATCCCGTAGTGGTAGAGGTAATAAGAGTATAAGCAGTAATCGGGAAGATTAGGGTTTGGAGATGTTATTTAAAGAGTATAATCCGGTGAAATAAATTTGGAAAGAGGAAAAAATGGACATGGCAAATTCAGAAGATTAGAATTTGGGAGAACACAGAGAGTGGATGCACCTGCGCCATTGCAAACGATTTTGAGCCATGTCATTCAAGGTCTCTAACCATCGGTTGCTATCATCTCACGTATCCCAACCAGGTAGTCTACACCTACCAACATGACTCAGTTCACTTGTCAGTGACTTCATGGACTTGTGCCATGTTTTGGTTTGGCCGCCCCTAGCTTTCTTCCAACCTATTCCTATACCACTGAACATAGCACGTCAAGGAAGTCGGTGGTTGGGCATACGTAACACGTGTCCCAGCCATCTCAACTGATGAAGTTTCACTACTTCATCAATTGATTTGCCATCCTTATCTAGTACCCGTTTCCTAACAACTGTGTTACTTACTCGTTTGTTATTTTAGTACAATCTTTAAAATATATCATGCTCCACTCACTAAGAGCGCTGTTGACAAAGAACAAATATGTCCACTCAATCAGCAATTAAATACGAGTGTAAACCACAATAAGCTTTAAATGTACTATTTTATTTCATAGTGCTTAAGTCAGCCTGTGTTCATGCTGAATAGGCTGGCCTGGCACGACAAATATTGAGTTAAGTCCTGCTTGAAAAGTTATATAAGACCAGAAACTTGAAGGTTAAACGAAGTAGATATATGGGGTTTATGTTTTTTTCATTATCAAGGATTTCTTGATCCGTTCTTCTAATAAGTCAATCACTTTATTTCTCTTTATCCTTATAAAATCACAGTTAGATTAAAGAAACTTGCAAAGGCGGTTTAGTCTTCGGTCAGTGACGGTCTTGAATTCCACACTCAGTTTTCTCAGTCAATCAGTCATATGTGTATCGGATCAAGACTTACCAGGGGTAGTAAGAAAGGGTTGGGTATAGAAACATAGAAAAGCTGTAGGGAGATTTCTTTGCTCAGGTTTTACATGTAGACAAGAAGTGGGTGCACATGCGTAACTATGAAGGATTCTGGAGCATTTCACCCGAAGTCTCTAATCGTTGGTCACAATTATCACGCGGGCTTCAACCAGGTTGTCTACACCTATTAACATAACCCAGTTAATTTGTCGGTGACTTCAAAAACTAAGGTGGTTGGGGCATGCGCGCACATGCCCCAACCACCTCAGTTGTTGCATATTTACTACCTCACCAATCAATTTTACATCCTTACCTAGTACTTTATCATCAACTTGGAGTTGCTTGGTCGGTGGTCCCAAAACATGACTACTGATTCATGAACACCTATGGTCGAACATCAGTACCCTACGAATATCTTCTATCCTTAATGACTATTTCACACTCGCCAAGTATAACAGAGTGAACTGCTGTGAAGTAAACTCTTTTATTGGGAGACGGATATTTCGCACACATCACATGTGGTACAGATTGCTATAAGCCAATCAAGCCTTCTGAATCCGTTCCGTGACTTTGTCAGAAATCATACCATCAAGACTAATGAGACTCAAAATAAGTGGAACAGTCTATACGTTCAACCACTTCACTCCCCATCATACGCTAACGCAGGCCGCTCCTGAAGCGACATTCTGCATTTGGAAAGAGTCACATCCAAAACATGCATTGCTACTGAAGGCGAAAAGAGAGAAGTATTATTCCAGCATCTTTACCAAATAGAACTAAGTCATCTGAATATTATACGTCAACAAGCAAATCTCAGGTTGGGGGACCAACCCCTGAAGTCAGACGACGAGAGAGTTATCTGTAAAAGAATGTCTATGACTAAGTAAGTAAAAATGAAGAAAGTGGACAGTCCTGTTGAAAAATCTAGTGACACCACGATCAGTGGTGTTCGAGTAGAGAGCCTATACACGGTTGATGTACTGCTTTGGTGGGGCTTTTAATAATACACCATTTCAGAACCTCACAATTAATAATCAAATATTGCCTTAAGGTCAAGAATAACAATTATAATCAGACATCAGGAAGTATGTCTATGTTCCCGAGCCTGATGAATAGTGAACATCTGGTCTATACATCCACGTCCAGGTCTGAAACCAGTATGGTTTTCCGGAGTTCGCTATTCACATACCCTGGTTAAGCTAATATTTCGGACACCGTATCCGTCGAGTTGACTTCTCTGCGATTGTCACACGAAGATTTACTTCCTTTCTCACAAGTTAGGATGAGCATCAATTAAGACCAGTCGGGTGGGATTGTGTCCGGTTCCATGACTGTAAACAAAGTATAAGTCAAGCTCACTACTGAGACTGTACCGCCACCCGTTAGTTTTTAAATCCTCCTATGAGAAACGAGGTACTTATGTAGAAATGGGTTAATACTCGTATAAATGCTTTTGCTTTGCCATGAACATTGTAATACAAAAACTTGAACTAAATACTGATGTACAAACAGATTGAGTAAAATTATATTTAATCAGGCATTGTATTGACTACAAGTGGTCATATAGTATGAAACATCGAGTCAAGTGCTCTCAGAGTATACTGACTTGTTAACCTGACACACTGATTCTTGGTCTCACAACAACACAGATACAAAGTGTGAAGTAAATTACTCAAGGTTTCGGTCTTGGTGATTTTTTGGCCTTCGGTGTGTCGTTTTATAGATTGCAAGACTGATAATGTAATGTCACTTTATTCTTTCGCAATAAAGTTTTTATACCAATTTGCATCCACTTTATGCAGTGACCGTATTGTTTTTTACAGAAAGTACTGTACCAGTTAACAATGATGAATTGCCAAGCAATAACAGTCAAGAGGATCAACCGATGTGTAACACGGAGAACACAAACAAAGAAGCTATAAATAAAGTATCTGCTAACAACGAGACAAATATTATTTCTGATGCCCTCACAACAAACTCCATTAAAGAAGCATGCGGAGCAACAAATGATAAACATAGACTAGTCTCTATAGAATCACTATATCACGATATGTTGCCTGGTGCTTTTGATAATAGTTCAACTAATGAAAATGTGCAGTGTCATGCTTGTCAGTTAAGAAATCAAGTACAAAATGAAATGACCATTAACATGGTTTGTGCAGCATGCCCTGGTTTTCCTCGTATTTGTTCAGCACAATGCTTCCGTTGGTGGCACAGCGTTCACTTATTGACACCAGTTAATAAGGAGTCCAAGTCTATAGAAGAAGATAAAACTTCTACAATAGAAAACTTATCAAGAAGTTTAAGTCCCTCTGAATTCCAACAATCAAGAAGAACTAAAGAATATAAAGCTCATACAAGATCACTTCCTTTACTTTCCGCATCAGGTAATTTTAAACCGGATGGACGAAAAAGAAAACGTAAATCTCATAGATTTACACATGTAAAACGACATCCTCCTCAAGGAACTTCATTTTGGGTTAAACAATCTAATAATATTAATCCTATCACTGTACAACCTAAGGCTGGTCGCCCACGAAAAACACAAGTTTACATGAATATTAAAGATCCAGAATGGACACCTTACAGAAAATATTGATCATTACTAAACTAGATACAAATTAAGGAAATGAAAATATACAAAATATTTTTCTTCAATATATTTATATACAAATATGATTACACTTTATTTTTCAGCTTTAGATAAATCTCCTCTTATTATTACAAAATATATAGATCAGTGTCATTTGAAATTAGTTATTCTTGAAAGAAATTCTCATTAACAATGTAACGAATACATTGCATAAGTTGATTACGTTCTTTTCGAATATCTTCAGCTAATAACTAAATAAGTGTAATTGTGAAAAAAATATCAATTAAAATAATAATAATAATTATTATCATTTAAGAAGTGAGTTATTTTTATGTAAACTGATAACTATGTCAAATAATCGTTAAAGTACAATGGTATATGTATACATTGTAGATGATTGCGGGTCTGCTCAAGTTAAGCGGGAATAGTGTGATGAACCAGCTAACTTCGAAGTCATACTTCGCGGTCAGCATCTAACGTGAATTACCCCTTCCACGTATCAAAGTACTATTATGGCTGCTTTGAAAACCGTTAATACGTAAATATAAGAATGAGTACAGAGAAGTTAGTGAGACCACCACCGCATAAGCCAGTTCATAGAGTATGATTAACTCATGCACGTTGGTTGTCTTTGAACTTGACAGGGATAGATTATCTATTCGATATTCAATGACCCAACTGCCGGATAATTTGGTTAGGGCTCAATGACATTTCACTGGCCCTGCAATAATACAGAATAATTTTGTGAATAATCTTGTTAAAGTCGACTATAATCCACTTTAATATTGGTAACGGTAGCTGTGAATAATTTTTCTGTAAATGTACTAATTAGCATTAGCATGATGTACATATTTTTTAGTTATAGTAGAAATACCATTAAGGGTATACCACTAACTTTCACTTATGTTGGTTTTCATATATCCCTAATGCTATAAAATCTAAATAAATCAAGTCTAAATCAGTCTTGAGTGCTGTTAGAGGTGTGAGAGCGGTTATCATTTCCCAGTTGCCCACACCGTGGAAGGGTTCTTCTGGAGGTATCTGAAAAGGAAATTGGATTACAGGTGGTCTTAGTGACCTGAAAGCGTGACCGCAGTGCCCAAGGGATAACTGCTTGAGGTCGGTCACACACGACCTTTTATGGGTGATTTTAGTGTTAGTCCATACTTGTTGAGACCTTACCGCCAGAGACGGATATTCGTGGGGTAAGGCGGAGTGTGTATTTTTAGAGTCGAACTTTTCTAACCCCACTCCTCCTTGTGGGAAGGCAGCATCGCTGTCATGCTGGTTGTCTGAAGGAAACACCTTACTGCTGTCACACCTCTGTACAGTCAGCAGTACGACTTCGCCTTCGGACCTTAGGTTTGTTGCCTTTAGTCTTACCGTTCTTCAACCGACCTGTCTGACATGGTAGGACCTTGAGGAACGGTTGTTCCAGCCAGTATAGCTGGATTGGTTCATCACCATAGGCAAGCCCGACCACCACGTCAATGTACCAACAACGGTCGGGCAAGTCTAAATATTTTCTAGTCCAATTATTGACAGACAAGTAAAATATACCCACCATCTGTAGTAGCGTTGGACGACTATGTATACGATGAATGTCACTTAGACATTGTCGTCGTTTAACTTGTAGCTTCACTAAAGGATGCGATGCGAATGGATCATCTTGAGAATTTTCAATATTTTCGTTATCTAGATTATCATTGGTCTTGTCGCCCTTTTGCTTTTGTCCACGTTTTCGACGTCGACTGCTTGAAGTATTAGTGAGCTAAAAATTAAACGAATATTTCTGGGTAATTTCAAGAGAGAGAGAGAGACAGAACTTGTTATTATTTTTGTAAATATTATTACAACTTATTGTTTAAAATACTTTTGTAAATTAGTTGAGTATTAAGGATAGCGAAGCAGATTTAGAATTATCATCCTATTCTAGATTTCAATGATAGAAAAACTATGATTTTTTAAAATTTCATTTTAACACATAGATATTGGTACAAGGAGACACCGAATGGTTATGCGCCACAGAGACCTCATTTGGTTTGTGTGAGGGCTGTGATACTGCCCGGGTGCCCAAACCGAAACAGGTGGTTTTCTTAGATGGCCACACCCGGAGCCTTCGACCTAAAGGTCTGATCCACAAGGCAGTGGAGAAACGTCAGGAGTTACAGTCCCATGGTAGCCAGTGACTAACGATTGGTTCATACACCATTTGTTCCTTCAGGATACTGGAGTCAATGTGCACCATTGGTTTGGAATCAGGGTTTTCTAACTCCCCTAGGTGAACTCTCCGTGTCCACCAACCCGGTTAGAGAGCCGAACATTCGCTTTTCATCCTCTCAATTTCGTAAACAACACCCCCACCACGAGAAGGTAGTGAAGTTATTTCCATGTTATTGTTACTACACAATCCCCCTTCCCCAACAATTTCATGCACCCTTTCGAGAGAGTTTTCTTGTCATCCTCAAAATAAGATAAGTATGAATGACTGCGTGATTTGTCATGATTAAATATGAACAGCAGAAAATATATGAAGACCATAAAACACTCCGAAAAGATAATATGTCCACATTTTAATGTTCGTGTTTGGGTTCTTTTCTTTGCCTCTGTTTATATGGCTGAGGAGCACTATGAAATAACTCACTACGTTATAAATTTATCTTAGAAACGAAATGAACATAGTATAAAACGGCGAGACTATAATTTACGGACGAACCAATCACGTATAATATAATAGGTCTTAGTTTTTGGCGCGAAGTTCACTCATCCATTCGAATAAATAGCGTTTTGGCATTATATTTCATGTCAGTTTGTGATGACCCCCCCCCAAATCTAATTCCTAACCTTAATCATCAACTGTAAATCATAAGTCTAATTCTTCATACAAGTTTATAACCCTCATTTAGTCCTGGTTATTAGATGGACACACTCAAGGTCAGTCTAGCGTCGCTCAAAGGTCTTCCAAAAATTATAGTCTCACCTGTAAAACACAAGTCACATATCCTATACCTTCGGTCATCATAATCAAAATCTTACCTTTTCCACAGGTTCTGTAGTAGGATCGGTTATATCACAGGAAGATTTATCTTTAACAGTAATATTGTCATTATCTGTGCTTTCACTGTCGTAATCCGTAGGAACTAAGCGTATGCTAGATTCTTGATTTGTAACGACTGGACTGGGACTATTTGTTTGACAATGTTTCGCAGTTTTACTAGTTTTTTTCGACGAAGTTGACATCTGTAGGATACAAATGGTGGGATAATTAACTATCACTCAGTAAATATCAATGAATAAAGACGCAATTGTGATTTGTGATAACAAGTGTGTTTTCGACAAAAAAAAGTATTGGTTAGTAGTCATCTAGTGAACTGAGAACCATTAGAATTATTTGTTAGTTTACGCAAAACGATAGCATTGGGAAATATTGACAAGCATATATAGGTAGGTTAACAAGTAGGATCTCTAAAGACTAAATGAAACAACTTCTCAATGTTTACAGTTTATTTTTTCATTATCATTGGTACTATATCATCTTGAATACAATGTCAGTCCTCTTGTTAATGTGATTCCACAGTGACAATTTGGTAATAACAGCTTAAGTTAATATCCATTTATGCCAGACTCTAAGTTAATTACGACTGACTGGTCAGTAGGATTCCATCTCATTACTTTGCGGTATTTATGTAGGTAAACGTTTAAGAACTAAGAAATTCAATTTTTAGCATACTGCATGGACAAGTTTTAAATATACGTATATGATATGAGAATTGCATAATACTCCTCAAAAATCTGTCGAATATTGCATTAAATGCATTTTAGTTATTATTTACAAATGTTGTACATTGTGATATCAGAATTTATGGAACTAGGAGTGACAACAATAGTGATCAAGACAATAAGAATAGTGCTAAGTTTCAAAATTATCACTAATGAATAACCGTATATGGCCGAAACTACACTATATATGTAATTTAGTATCATCTTAAGGTATAGATCTCTTATCATACCAATAAGCATGAATAGGGAATTTGAAAATTGAAGAAAAATGCAGATTTACATTACTTTGTTAGATGAAGCATTGACTTCACCTATTTGTGATGAACGTAGGACATTTGAATTCGGTTTGTTCATCGAACTGAAGTATAAAAGTGAGACAGGTAAATACAGTATTATAACGATGTAAATTAATAGTAACACAAGGCAGACAAACAAATTGTATTATCCGCTAATATAGTACAATGTAATTCAAGATTTTACATCTTAGGAAACCACTTCAAGTGGACTAATAATAAATGAGGACAGTGTTGGATCTTCGAGGTAAATAATTTAAGGTTTAAAATTACGTGCATGGTATGATAAATGTTATCTAACCTCACATAACATACACCACCATTTAACATATATTCTACTTTAATTCCTATTTACATTTGGCAATATGTGAAGTGCTTGTTACAATGATTATACATAATATCTTGGATATTCATTCTTATACAGTGCAAATTGACCATAATCATCTTTCAAAAGTTGCTAATTTCAAGCCTTAAGCCTTAATAAACCTTAATAATTGAGCTTTGACTACAAAAAAACATCTGATTAACATGGTTAGGCCTTATTTGCCTATGTACTTATAAATTTGCTAAAGGTTAAATAGCATGTATAGCATCATTTCATCTCTCAGTACAGATGTGGTTTGACAACGTGAGGCAATCCAAGTTTGTAGGACGTCGTGCATTGATGATAACATACCAAAAAGGGAAATTATGCCTACGATTAGTGAAATGGAAATCATTTACAGGAGCCATTAAGGTCACAGCTCCACTACCTATTATATATATGTATTTTCATTATTGACGTTGCTTACTCACATTTGATGATGATTCCACAGTAAAAGGATAATTAAAATCTGAAAGAAAACCAATGAGATCACACACTGTTGTACAATTATAATTTCCAAGATGTAAAAGTGTACAGAACAAGCCACGTTTTGGAATAGTGAGGGATATTGAAGTCTACTCAAATTTTAAATTCAAAGGTTTCGGATATAACAAGAAAAGAAACTACTAAAAATTACATCGTTATAATATCACCATATGTTAAAATTGAAAAAAAGGAGATTACCCGAATTGAGGTGTCTCAAATATTTCTCCTCGCTCTATACGTTCTTCAATAAGCTTCTTTTTCGCTTCAACTCGCTCCATAGTTGGATAATTTCTGAGAAATTAGAGTGAACAATACAAAAAAGTTGGTGATATTTATTACTATACACCAAAATCATTTCACAAAAGAAATAGTGACATTTAGTGTAGAAAGAGATCATTCAATACCATGTGTCCAATTTGGGTAAACTGCAAAATAATGAAAATCTAGGAATTCGTCACTTTAAAATACAATTTTTGGCATGATATAAACGGAGATTAAAGCAATCAGACATTAAAGGACACTGAATAAACATTGTTAAATCAATAGAAAAGTTAGAATGAATGTCACAACCAAGGGTTTTCAAACTTCTCATTCCTAGCTGTAGTAATGACACGATTTATTAAGTCAAGATTCGCATGGCTGGCTCTAAGCCAAACATTGGATGTAAAAGCTAGTGTTGCTAACTGGCTGCTTAAACGAGTGATGAAAAAAGATTCGAAAATACTATTTAGTGGTTGGATGCTTTTAACCAATTATGCGTCGATCTACGGCTTCTGGTGTTGTTATTACTATTCTCACTCTCACACTAATTTTTGTTCATTTTTTTCTTTTATTATAATCACCTTCCTTTTTCCATTTCTAAAAGCTTGCTTTTATCGTGGCGTATACATATTTAAGTTCCCCTTTGTACCAATGCTTGTGTTTAAATAAATAATACTAAACACATTAAATAAAATGTGGTTTCGAATGGAATAAAAATACATTTACGGCTGAAAAGAGATGGACATAAGATGCCCTCGAATTCCCTGGTACGGCCGAGAGTGGGGAGAGTCAGCTCTCCCCCTCGAAATGCTCTCACATGGCTACGCGTATAAAGCCTCTGCCAGGGAAGTCCTACTCACTGCCTTCTCGTGGCGGGGGTGTTGTTTACGGAAATGGAAGGACAAAAGGCGAATGTCCGGTGCTTTAACCGGATCCCAAACCAAACCAATGGTGCGCATGGGCTCCAGTATCCTGAGGGAACAAATGGCGTATGAACCGATCGTTGGTCATCGGCTTCCATGGGACTGCATCTCCTTACGATGCTCCACTGCATTGTAGATCAGATCTTCAGGTCGAAGGCTCGGGGTGTGGCCTACTAAGAAAACCACCTGCTTCGGTTTGGGTACCCGGGGAGTATCACAGCCCACACACACAAATATGGTGTGGCGCATATATATTTGGTACCCTCTTGTACCAATATTTATGTGTTGAAATAAATAAATAAATGTTGCAGCTGACTGACTGTTTAAATAAATAAAATGTGAAGTGTTTAGCTTTCATGATAGCTCTTACGTTCACTGCAAATAAGTAATATTTTATTTTGGGTACGACCATAAACCTTTTGAGTATCAATCAACTTTCACCTTATTTACTCAGAGGTCACATTATAGATAAGAAAACCATTAAAAATGTCCAGTTCTAATGGGCTGCAGAGAACAAAGCACCTAGTTAGTACGCTTTGTCTTTCAGTAGCTTTTAAACTTGTTGCAAAATAAATTCGAATAGTTACTAGAACGCATAGTCTACTGATTTTTATGTAAAAGACCATACTTCATAACTTATTTGAATCAGTCGTTATGGTAATTGCACGAGAAAAACCGTAGTAATCAACAGGTTAGTCGTTCTTGTGTTCTTTAAAACACGCCATTCATAAATACAGGAGTAAATTTTTACAGTACCAATGTCTTTTATACTTTACAGAAAGGATAAATAATCTGGGTTCATATAAAAGGGAAACCCTATTGATACTTTAGTTGAAGAAGTCTTACCGTTTACGGCTTTCTCTCCAAACTTTTACTGACTTATCGCAAGTTTCACGGTAGATGACATTAAACAAACCACTATTGTGAATCTGTAAAAAGGATAGATAAATGACAATTTATAGAGATTTACTGACCACTTCCTGATGGACACGCATTGCTTTCTGATGTGACGTAAATGGGCAGCCCTCAACAGGACACTTGGTCAAATATTATTTGACAACCGAGCAAAACTTACTTTAACATGACTATCTAAATGTTTTTTATATTCTTCATTAGTGTAGAAGGCGATATCACAGCATATCCCCACTGGATTATAATAATCGGGATCTTCTGCTTCAAACCCTACACCATATAGTCCTCCGTTTCTCCTACGACGTCTACGCCTTCCCACATCTTTGAAAAGCTTGCTTTGATCCAACTCTTCAAGTGCAGTTTCTAATTCGTTAAGTATATCTGACGTAGTATAAAGTAATTCAAAAGGTGGTAGTTCCATGACGATTAGTTCGAGCAATCTCAAAAGAAAAACAACAAATAAATAAATTGACTAGATAGTACAAACAGATGTTTTAGGATTAGAGAACAGGAATCTGAACATGACACAGTTCAATCATGAGTGAAGCAGTATTTTTAATGTACAGAACAAGAGACTACTGTGAATTTAACTAAATCTGCCTACCTTCAGATAACTGTCTAAATGAATAAACAAGGTTTTACTCAAGAATAACATTATAATCTCTAAAATATGTACTGAGTTTCGAACCTAGTTGTAGAAACATTTATGTCCAAGTGCAGATTAAGCCTTTAATGCCAGATGAGGCATTCTAACCGGATTAAGAGATATCTCTTTATTTGGATAGGTGATGCAATATTCATTACGAACTAAATCTGGCTGAGGAACCACAGAACTCAGAGAACGTTTCGTACCTGTTTGTGAATCATAACCACGACCACTCAGATAATCAGAACCAAGACCTTAAAATACTGAACCAGGCATTGTCTGTTCAGAAGGCTGATTCAGGCCAAAACGATTTTATCTATACCCTACATCATCTATGAACAACTTGGTATGTAATTTGAAAAACACCGAAAAAAAACCATGGTTTTCATTGTGCATATGCATGAGGAAAATCAACGAGTGAATCTAGCTGAGGGATGAAACGACAACAAGCAACTAGATTGACTTGAACACTTAGGCTTTCTACTTTTATTTATGTCAATATATGCACAGTACAACATATCCATTCTTATTAAATCAAAAGGTTACGTAAAGACATAATACCTCACACACTCAACTAGCAGCCAATTTAAGGAAGAAAAAACAACAAGGCTTAACGTTGATGAGTGGACAACTACGTCTGTAAATTTTGATAGGCGGACAATTTACGATAACATATGAAAAAGAATAACATATGACTGTAGCCGAGCAAGTTTTACGCCCGCCGAAAATATCATATTCAATTTATTGCCTTTCAAAAATTTATGTGAAGTTCAAAAAATCATTGCTATTATGTCAGTGTGGGAATTCCAGTGGTTATGAACGGAGTCTAAAACAGCTTTCGCCCATCGCGCTTGTGTGTCTAGTAGTTGTTCATCGATGTCTTCATGTCGAGACGTAGGTATATTCAACAAACGAAAGAGAAATATTAGGTTAAAATGCCATAATGTCTAAGGCCCAGAAGAATACATCAAATTTCTTTTTGACGAAAATCCAGGAAGTTGCTTGAATCATCCCAGCTGCCAGAGAATTCCGGGGCCTGACTCTCGGCAAAGAGTAGGTCAAATATGTGCGTGTAATTTCCTGTTCGCCGTATTTCGCCTCTGATTTTCGGGTATCACCCCCATGGTTTGTGTTGACCATGAACTTAGATGGACTTCCAGAGGGTGCTCAGGGGTATGTTGTCAGGTGATCACCTTCGAGTAGCTTATATTTTCTAAAGGCAAGGGTCCAATGATTCTAGACGGATAGTATGAGGCCTGTACATGTGCACACGACATGATTTATTGTCTAACCTTAGAATAAGTTCTAGAGCATCCCTAGTCCTTGAAGACAAAGGAAGGAATACTGTTTTTCTATGCGTTAGAGGAATTCAAATAAAGGTGATGAAAATTAAGTGGAAAGCCGAGAATGCTCTTCAAAGTTATCAGTTCAAGCTTTTCTGTAATAGAGCTTCTTTTCACAGTTAGCGTGAAATTTTAAACCACAGGATACTAATTCACGTGGGTCTTTCCAAGTAGCGACACTTCAAGGTGACAATCGCCTAAGTTGTGTGTGCTGAAGATGGCGTACTCTTAAATGATTTGAAAGTTCGTTTTTGTCCGTCCAAGAGTGAAGTCGAGTCTGAACCTCACGAGGTGCAGGTTTATAATTGTGACTACAAATTTATTTCGGAAGCTTAAGGTCGTCGACCGAAATGACTATCTCAAACGACACTGAGGGAGTTCATTTACAGAAATTGAAAAAACAGAGGTCCTGATACTATATGCTGGAGGACCCCACTTAAACACTCTGTAGACTGAAAAAAATGAATAATTCACCTAACTCTTGAATAATCGACTGTTCAAGCACGATCTAACTTGGTCTGTCAGCAGTGACCTAATACCAGTTAGCTCTAGTCCTATCTATTCTCTTCAATGAGCTTATTCGTATTTTTGGAGAGGCCCTTCGGAGAACCATGTTGTTAGAGTAAATAGACGTTCATATATAATTTGTATTCGCGTAGGCTGCTGTGAGCCAGTTTATCCTTAGTCATTGAAGGTATGGAAAAAATTCACTACACGAAGCAATTTGAAGACTGGGTAGATCTGTGTTATTTTTAGCTTTTTTAAAGTGCTTGTCAGCGTAGTGAGTGATAGAACCGTAAACAAAAGATTTTGTCCGCTTCGGTCCGTATAGCAAGGTGCATTACTTCCAGTCCAGGGGATATGGAACATTTTAGAAGACGCAATCTTCAGTGCAACAGGCCAGTTTATAGCTTCAAGTTCGAGATTCCTATTGACCCACTCGTGGATGCTGCTTGACGGAATAGGCTTCAGAGATTGATGAAAAGTTTGTCCACTAAATCAGTCTAGTATCGGTTCCCGCCTTTCCTTAGGGCCTGCTTTTATTTGTTACTAGTTTGTCTGGACTTCCTGTTAATTATTTTGTCTCTGACTTTTTGAATTTTGACTAGTATGGTCCTTTCCTTTTGTTGTTCGAAGGAAGAGATTCTGTATGATCCCAAGTATTTACCAACCATTTGTGGAACCAACAGGATTGCAGTGAGCGAGGTTGTGTGCAGTGACAGTTATCACTGGGCATCTGCATCAAGTGGAGTAAAAACATACCCTGTAGAGCCAACCCCTACTCCGTAATTCTAACAAATGACTGTGCATCTCTCGCGACTTCCAGACGAGCCTTGTCTCCACTACTTAGCTAACATGGCTTGTTCGCAGTTTTCTTAAGTTGCAACAATTTATCACAAGCAACCATTATATTTTCTTCGGAATCGTGTTATTCGTCAGTATTCTCGTCTGACTGAGCCTCATGTGCATAGCTAATGAACTTTATTACTCTATTATTTTCTGCTGAATAGTTCTTGGCTTCTCCATAGCCTTTTGTATTTTATGATCCGTTAGCGAAGTCGCCAATTTTAGTTTGCTTTGGTTATGTTTGATCATGTCTTTGTGTGGTTTGTTCGATTGTACCTGGATTTCAGAAGACATCTGTCGCCGGATTGCGCAAAATTTCACGAGAATGACAGCCATTATCTTCGATAGAAATTCGCTGCCTGGAATTTAGTGCTATTTCCAGTCAGCCAAATGGATTTTGGGTCGGAATACCTCTGAGCTTTGATATATGTCTCGAGCCTCCATCTCTGATTATAAAAAGCTGAGTCCCCAAGGTTCATGGTTTGCTAGGATTTAGGTCTAGGTCGATAGTATTCCACTTACCTATGCTACTAGAGCAATAAAATCAATCCAATATTGTTAATTTCCCGTGATTACTGCTCAATTTATAAGATATTATGTAGAATTCACATCACTGACTATGGTAACCCGTTCTATTCACAACAGTCAGAAGTATGCTTAATATGAACCCTTGAAGGATACATTCGGTCTAAAAATAGAATAAAAATTTTTGTATAAAAAACAAGAGTTTACACAGTGACCAGGCCTGGATAACTGAGACATGCCGTCTCGATGAAATGTTCCATTCTTAGCCTATTCTGACCTTCTTTAAGTGTTCAGCGCTTAACGTAAGTCTTCTCATTAATTGTGTGTCCAGCTTCGAGGATCTTGGTGTTAGGAACCAATGCTAATGTATTTTTTTAAATTCCATGTGCATTTATGTTGCTTACTTTTCCCTAACGTTTCTTAATATTCCTATGAAACTGCTCGAAATACGGTGCATTTGGAAAAATTCACACATTCCAATCAGACGTGATCTAATAACTAGCCTGTCAGACATTCTTTGTGTCACCAGCACTGGCAAGCGTAGCTCGAATTAATATTGAATGGGTTGGGTGTTTAGTATTTCTTCACTGAAGGAGCCGTATGATTGTGTTGAGAATTCTATATTGTACCAAAATATAATATCGAATAAAGCCATTAATAATCATAATAGTGTTTCAATTTAAAGTTTTGTGCAACGTCCGAAATGCCAAGATTCTGTTTGAACGTAATATTAACGACCAGACTACATTCTTCTGTATGGAATACGAAGCGTCTCTGAGTGACTCGTATTAAATCACATCAAAAAGCAAAATTTTCGTTCAGCGTAAACGGTTCCAATTCAAGAAAGAGGACAAACTAACAAAAATACGGAATAGCTCAAATGGTACAGTCTGTGCTATATGATCAAAGGTTTCTGAAACATGAACTGGTGTGCTAAACGACAAAGGGAATAGTCAACAAACAAGAGTTCGATACCTGGGGATCAATAGTAGTATTTCTAACAACATAGAATCGGATATCTATCTGCGGGAATTACAGCAATCTTTCCAAGCAAACAGTCAAAGGTTAAATCATGCACTGAACCGCGCCTTGTCTTTGGGCTTATTCAAACGCGACCTTATTGTCAATAGTTCGTCAACATGCGAAAGTAAAACCAACTAACAAACAACGAGTTTTTAAACAAAGTCACATAATAAAAGCTCAGATGAGGAATATTGAAGGACATTAAGTTCGGTCAGAAGAGACCTAAATGAAGGTTGAAATACAATACAGCGTGAAGGAAAAAATAAGTAACAATATCGTTCAATGAAAGGCTGTGGAGGAAGTTTCAGCGTCTTCTTTCCGTTGCGCCCTAGCTCGCAAGTTGTATCTTTCTACAACATCTCGTGGTTTTTTACAGAAGACTGTGGTGAAGAGGCTGTCACAAACTATTTGAATTTAACTGTAATATGAAAATTGCCCCGAATCCTGACCTATCACTCAAGCTTTTGACCATTCTAAAGATTCCTCCGATGAACGTACTGGATTGAGGTTCACAGTTTTACGATTTCTAGTAAGTACTTAAATGGCTTTGGGGGTGGATTTTGTGGCTACAACACAAAACCTGGTATTCTTCTAATATTCAGGCTTTCAACATCTTTTTAAGTGCGACCTTTGATTCTCACCGACCTGATCATATATGGGTCCATTCGTTGTCTTCCACAAATTTCCAGGTGAGCACTCTTGTCGTTGGGGTGTATACTCTAGATGACACTAGCTTATCAAGAGAATCCGATGCTTGATCATACCACAGAGCTTAGTTGCAGTATATCCGCAGTGACGTTGGTGCTTGGTCTATCACTAGTCGCTATGTCTGAGTTCATTTTTTCGTCTCACGATCTATCACTGATTGGTTATAAGCTTAGAACTTACCGCCTTTCCCTATCACTGACGGTATTTTTGTTCAACTTGGCCAGAAGAATTATATTACTCGCCGGCTCCTCAGTACTTTTATCACAGACGACACGTACACACTTGCGATCACAGTTCATTAAGTTTGTGTCAAGCAGCCTCCGTGGGATTTGTGCATTTCGTGTGTAGTCACCCCATACATTTATCTTATCGTGTAACACAGTTGGCAGTAGGTCCTTAACTAGATTGCTTATATGCACTACTTTAGTGGCAGACGATATATCCGAACAGCCAGTGTACTTCGATACTCCTGTAATCTTATTAGTCACATTGTTTTGGTGGTTTTGTATCACACACCTTTTTCGAAGTCCTGCTAATTATATTCGCAACCACGACCATGTATATGCCTTCAAAGGTATCTTTAATCGTTAAAATCGGTTAATTTAGAATGAAGTTGAAGTATCAATGAGTTTTTCACAAAACTTTGCTTTTGTGTTGTTGTCTGACATTGGCAGCAAACGTTTACGCGTTATTTGACAAGTTGTATGAATATTATCACAAAAATGCTGATCAGACATCTCTATTTTACTTTGTTCTTGTAGGACAAATCGAAATTTGAAAAACGTTGGCATATATTAAACTAATGAAATGAACATAGGAACGTGGGTAACAGTATTTCGTCAGTTTGATTTTTCTATACATAAACTGTTCCAGTATTTTGCCATAAACAGTGTTGATTAAGATTGCCGAGTCATGTTTGATTAGCCAAAATCTAAAAAAGAGTAGATTTACTGAGGACGTCAGAGTAACCTAAAGTCATAATGTAACTTCAGTGATGTAATAATAAGATTATCAGAATCTTGTGGTATATTGGAGCAATACATTTGAACGGTGTGATTGAATGCATAAGTGGTAAAGTAACAGGTTTATTGAACAAAAGGAATTTTATTAAAAAACATAGTAAGTAAACTATATAGAAAACCATACGTACCACCAGGCTTAGTCATAAATCATTGTTACCAGGGTATGTTTATAGTCAACAAAAACTGTTTTGGGACACATGTTTAGGGTTGCACTTTTGTGCAATCAAGACTTTAATAAACCTTGCATATGACTTGCTCTCATTCGGTTTCTTTGTTCTATTTATTTCTGTAGTCACTTTTGTACACGTTCAGAGACCCCAACCTGTGAATCACAATCACTTACCTATTTGATCTTTACTATTTTTGAAATTAATCAAGCGCACGTATCTCGTTGCGCAGCGGTCTGATTAATCGAACGTTGAGAAGCTAATTTATGATAAGGCTCATAAACTGTCTATCAGCTTAAGTTTGAAAATTGGTCGTAGATCGGTAGCTATCAATTTATTAGACATGCTAGCACATGCAAATTCGTGATAAGATTTCCGAGTTTAGCAGCCGGAACTTCTATTCACAGAGTTAGACGAACTATATCGTTTGATATCACGATAAACCAGAACTCTGTGAAAACTGGAAAGCGATCATAGGCATTTTGACCGGTAAAAACTAGTAAGTGTATGGCTCACAAAAAACACTATTTGGTTAGCTGCCTCTGTCGGGAAATTACTGGATAAGACCGCACGCTCTTTTAACTCCGTGTTCTTGTATCTCGTCAATTAATAATTATACATAGATGTTATTCGACACTTGCTAATATGCTTTGGTTCCTTTCTACTACTGTCTGTGGAGTGTCCTCGTAAATTCTGTCTTGAAAAGGCAAGAAAAATGAGAGCATATCAGATGCAAATTTATCGTTAAGTAATTTGAAAACGGTAATCTAGTCTTCTCTGGTTCTTCTATACGACAATGGAGATACGTTTAGCCATTCGAGCATCATACGGGAGCTTTGCTATTCCAGGAGTCAGCTTAATAGCGGTCCCCTGAACCTTTACCAAAGGCTCACTACCTTTTCAGCAGTAGTCAACCACTTGTATACAGTTTTCAAGTGTATGATACACGAATACGGTATACAAAGTCAAAAAGGTTTTAGCGTCGACATGGCAAAGAACCGCCGTATTGACCACAGGGTTCTGAAGCCTATGGCAGTCATCACACGACAGTGTGCAGTAGATTTTAAGGATTGACCAACGATGACTTCCAAGGTCTTTTGTGTCTGGACAACAGGTAGCTCAATGTTATCCGTCGTTCATGTATCTGTACTTTGATGACCATTATGAATCACAATGCACTTTGAAAGTATTTATCGAAAACTGACAATTTTGAGACCATTCAGATCATTTTTCCAGGTAATTTTGAAGCTCTAAATTATGAACCTAACTTTTTATCGCTCTGCATATCGTCAGCATATAGCAAGACCGATGATATTAGGAGACCATACAAGAGGCCCCCAAACTGTACCCCGAGGCAATCCGCTAAGCACGGCTCCCCAGATAAACAACTTGAAATTCACTCGCAGTCTTTGTTGACGCTCAACTAGGAAATCTTTTATCCCCATCAATAAATTGTCTCTAACATCGAAATTTCTTAACTTACATAACTATTTTTGAGGAACTTCGCCACAAGCTTTTCTGAAGTCGTTGTAGGCTACGTCTATATGTAACCTTCGATTTTTTGCGTGCGCACTGACTTTCATGAGCCACTAATACTTTAGTGAAACAGAAATAACTTGTTCTAAAGAAATGTTGCCTTTCCGAAAGCATCTAGATTCATCGAGATACGTAAACAACTCGTCTCCAAGAATCTTATCTAAAATGTTAACTATCACACTAGTTAAAATTATGAGTTGGTAGTTCCCAGGTTTTTGCTTCGTATCTGTCTTGAAAACAGAACTTATTATGGCGTTTTTTCAGTCGTTTGGTAATGGACTCCAGGTTACGACAGATTAAAACATATGCTTAGGAGGTTAGCAGAGAAATCAGTTAGTTTGTTTGGTAATCTAGGATGCATTTCATCGAGTCTTGTGGATTTACATATATCAGGCTTATTTAGATCACAGATATCGAGTTCTCTAATAGTCACATTTTTTAGTGTGTGGGGGATTTGTATAAAATTACGGGAAGGGTAGTAAAATTATGCTCTACTTCGTTATTAGTATTATTATAACTATATAATTACTCCTAAAGTTATATATATGTCATGATTTGACTGCCTAACCTATGAGATCTTACGTGGAAGTCACATCACTGTCCACAACTGCTCATCGTATCTCAACAATTAACATTGTGATACTCAGTACCTCTGAAGATCTTATTTAGGCTAGAGATAGAATAATATTTTAAGTGTGAATAGTGACAAATTATACAGAATGATCATGTCTGAGAGGCTGAGCAATGCCATCCGATTGAGTGCATGAATATGTAGAACTATGGTCTACTATAACATTAGTGCTGCTCTAATAATAGACCTAATCCTAAAATTGTAGATTTGTCATGATGTAACTGCCTAATCTATAAGATATTACGTGGAAGTCACACCATCGACTACGCCAACTCACTGTATCGTAACAATTACCAATACATGATGTAGAACAAGCTTAGGCTAGAGAAAGAACAATATATTTAATATGAATAGAAGATATAAGGTAACATTCGGAGGGACCACGCCTGCATGGCCGAGCCATGCCATTCGATCAACTCTAATTCATTCAATTCATTGTTTGCGCCTTCTCCATTGTTAGGTATTTATCCGCGTTAAATATTGAATATCTATTTTCTGAGTAGTCTCGTGTTCAGCTTTGTGGATTGTGTGGTTATTGTCCAATGCCACTACAAATATTCCCTCGTTCATCGTTGTTGATCTCCGCTCCGTGTTGAATGTCGAATATCTATTTTTCCTGCAGTCACCTGTTCAGTTTTGAGGACGATGAAGCAGTACTGTCTCCTCACGGTGCTGAAATATTTCTTCTTCTGCCCTTTGGTTTATATACGAAAACAAACTTTAGGGACATTCTATGGATTCCTTAATAAATTTTTCGTCGTACAATCTTCTAGACCTACGGAGGGTCGAGGAACAAATACTTAGAACTTCTTGATATTGATCCGGGTCAATAACCCGTGATGCTGACTAAAACTATCTACATTCATATCTTATAAATTATCAAACCGGTTGAGTAATTTACTACGGTGGATATCGTATAA